TTCTGTTTCTGATTTCTTGAAATACAGCCCATGTAGAGCAGATTGTTGCACTCTAACTGCACCAAAACCATTGAGCTGAATCACTAACTGATATTGAACCACATTGATGGACCACAGTAATCCAAACAGAGCCAGATGTGAGCATGTTGCAAAGTTTAATAAGCATAAAAATGCATACATTAACCCTGTGGTGCACCTCTGTCATTTTTTATCAAAATTTTTTTTTTATTTTTTTTTTTAAATAATGTTTTACTTCACCGGAATGGTACAAAACTAGGTAAAGGTTTAGGTATTCGCTATGTGAACACACACCCACACACACAAAGATTTGAGAAGGCTAAATGGTCTGTTCATGGTCAAAAAATGCCCGCATTTGGAACACAACTTGTTTAGATTCATTGCTTTGATTTTCTCACCATTTTAGAGTAAAATAAGTTTTGGGAAATATAAACTTGATATAAAACTTAAAAGTAGTATTTTTGTGAACTTTTCATAATAATAAACTTTAAGTGAAAAAAGTGTAAAAAACTAAAAATTGCATCACAGGAATAAAGTATGTTTTAAGACATTTTCAAATAGAAAACAGTCATTTTAAATCATAAATATTTCACAATATTACTGTTTTTACTTCATTTTTAACTAATAAAATGCAGCCTTGGTAAGCAAAAGAGACTTTAAGGTCTTTTAAAAATCTTTAAAAATTTAAAAAACAGTTTTTGGTTGCTATCAGTTTGCATTCATCCTTAGCTCTCGCTCTCTCATTGTTTTTGTCCATATCTGCTTCACTACAGCAGCATCATGATGTTATCTGAGGCTCTTGTGTCAGGACTCTGAGGAACTCTTAACTGCGGGAGTTTCTGATTCTCTCCAGGAGGGTGTCAATAACAGCAAAGCGTCTGCAGCGGACTGTGGGATCACGCAGGCGGCCCATCTCATGCTGCTGAGAAAGGTTACTACAGCTCAAAAAAAGAGGCACGGGATCGTTAAACAGCCCCTTTTGGCAGCTATAGCCTTTTCCCAGAATGGTCGAGGGCAAAGTCAGAGCGATTTTTATTTTTATTTCCTTTTTCTATTTCTAGTGGCAAATTGTATTGCTGAGATGTAGCTCAGGAGACAAAATAAGAGTTCTCAGTTATGTTTCATATAACTATCAACTTTATAACATATTTAAGAGATATATCTCTTTTGAAACTCTTGAGAAAACGTTTCTTGGGTCTTCATGTGAGGAGAAAATCTAAAGTCTCCATTTGTTCCCTATTGATCTCACTGATGTCTAAGCAAAATCTCATAAAGAGAAACCTGGTGAAACTGTTATTTGAACCAGTTCTTTGAAATTAACTCAAAGAACTAGTTCGCAGAGAACAGTCTGACTTTCCCATTTGACTGAGGCAATGGATTACAGGTAATAACGTAGTAAATAATGTTCAGTTTCTTGCACAGACAAATTTTTTCACTTCATAAGATGCCAATGTATCGCCAAGAGCCACATTCATTTTGTACTTTTTTGACTCTGAAAGTGAGGGTAACATTGATGTACATTTTATGAATCACCAAGAGCTGTGGTTTCAGCTAACAATCTTCTTTACTCTTCTACTGAAAAAAGTCACCTACATCTATGGCCTGAAGGATAGATCTGATGAAAAAAAGTTGCCTATTTTGAAACAATTGTCACTCAGAAATGTCTAGTAAATTTCACAAATAATTACAAAGAAATTGCAAGTAACACATTGAATTAAACATGAAATTAAGTAGCTGAAATAATATTTTCTTGTAAGACACACTCCAATAATCATTGTTTTATTTACAATTTAGAAAAAATATTTTATTTCAGTTAACGTTTATTATCATTTATGTAACAAAAAATGTTCCCTTTCATGGGAACTTCGAACTGCGTCCTCTAGGTTTCCCCATAGCGACCCCTAGAGGACGCAGTGTCTCGTTCCCTACTCAGGGAACCATGGTTACATAAGTAACCTGAGACGTTCCCTTTCATGGGAACTTCGAACTGCGTCCTCTAGGTTTCCCCATAGCGACCCCTAGAGGACGCAGTGTCTCGTTCCCTACTCAGGGAACCATGGTTACATAAGTAACCTGAGACGTTTTTATGGGTTAACTATAATAAGCCCGTTATATGTAAATAAAAATATAGAATATTAAATTCTAAGTTTCTATCTTGCAGTTCTGCGAATTTTCTCAAAAAAAAAAAATCTAAACTGTGAGATAAAAAGTCACACTTGCCTTTTGGTAACACTTTATTTTGAGTCCACTTTAGACATTCTACTAACAGTAAGTAACTTTGAAACTAAATGTCAACTAGCAGTAATTAGAGTATTAGTACACTGTCTGCTTAATATCTTCTTACACTTTATTTTGATGGGTCCACAACATACTGACTATAAGAAACTTTAACTCTGAGAGTTAGTAGACATGCAGTTGCAAATGAATGAGAGTTAGTAGACATGCAGTTGCAAATGAATGAGAGTTAGGTGACATGTAGTTGCAAAGTTACTTATAGTTAGTTGAATGTCTAAAGTGGACTATCAAAATAAAGTGTAACCTACCTTTTTTATTTTTTTAATCCATATTAGAAATGGGCTTTCATTGTTTTCTATATGAATATATTTTAAAACATAATTCATTCCTGTGATGCAAAGCTGAATTTTCAGCATCATTAACGCCAGTCTTCACTGTTACATGACTCTTCAGAAATCATTCTAAAATGCTAAAATTGCTTCTCATGAAACAGGAAGACAGATTAAACATTTTTCCTCTAATTATTGACAGCACATCACAATAATTTTAAGTCTAAAATGATTACTTCATCGAAATGTGCAATCAATACACGTCATACTTACACAGCAGAATAACAGCAATCAGGTCTCTTTCTCTAATGACATTTCTGGTCACATTCATGAATGCACATGCTGTCAGTGAATTTTCCGTATCTGTCTTTCACTTCAAATACAGTCGATGAGGAACGCAAGGTGGTGGAACAAATAACCCAGGTTGCACTGCCCGCAAGAAAGCGAATTAATGAGGATTTAATGGTCCCACGCAGCCACCCCACCTTAATCGCTCAACTGCAGTTATGCAAATGACACAACTTGAAGGCAAACATAAGCAGATGATAACAAAACGCCGGAGTTGGGGGATAGAAAAATGAAAGAGTAGCGAAGACGCACAGAGCAAAACTAATATTTAAATGAATCGTTTGATATGGTTTCAAAGAGAATGTTTAACTTCTTTTGTTTCAACACGATTCAAGGCACACAAGGGAAACGAAAACAGTCAATCACGCACAGCTCTTGCCTCACGAGTTATAATGCTCTCTTATTAAGAGGCACGCGGGACATTAAGAAGAAATATGAGCACCCCTGTATGCGCTTAACTCACATTTCCCAGTCTCTGCTTTGATGCATGTGTGATGATGTTAAGGGTCACTGAGGGGTGTTGTAAGACTGCGGTGCAACTTGGCAGAGAAATGGCAAACATGACGAGAGGGAAGAACCGCAATCTGTGATTGCGAGAATTAATGAATGAAGCTGGAAATATGAAAAATTAGTGAAAACACTTGAATATGTACATAGACAAGTGCTTGGCAGCTAACATGAGAAGCTGCATCGGTAATAGACATGCCCACGGTGCCGCATAGTAAAATATGGCATAACACTTTATAATAACTTCCATTAATATGGCTTTAATGCACATTATACTTTATATGGCTTCAAGGAATAGTTGAAAAATGAGAACTCTTTCATCATTTATTCACTCTCGTGTTGCAAAAAACATTCTTTCATGGAACACAAAATTCCATTTTGTTCCATTCTAATGGCATTGGTTCTTGCACGTTTCACAACATTGACTACGTTTACATGCACACGAATAGTGCGATTATTTCCAATAATCAGAGTAAGGACATAATCGCATTACGATGTTTACATGTCAAGAGCAAAGCTCTTCACTCCCGTTTACATGCAATTTACATTATTCTTATTAATCGCTAAGAATTGTGGTAAATTTTTCACTGCCATTATTCACATACTCCACTGCACGGAACAAATGATAGACTCAGAAAGAGCAGGTGTGTTAACTGGCCGCCTATTTATGTCTAATGCAAAACACTTTTGTATGGCTGTATTGAATACAGCCATCCAGCTGTTTCGGCGCCATAGAAATGTGATGGCAATTCGTTTGCCTACACTGCCGTCGCGTTCTACTCGCCATTTCTGGATGAGGATAAGGAACAGAGACTGGTGGCAGCGAGTTGTGTTTTCATGTCATTCATGTACGTCATGAGCACATGTGCACTTTGGTCAGAGCGGCAAAACTGCAATTAAGGTGTTTACATGCCTGTATATTTCGATTAAAATTGGCATACGCCACTTATGTTAATACGATTATTCTTGCTGCGATTATGAGCTTAATCGCATTATTTAGATCGAAGTATTGCGTTTACATGAGGTAAAGTTTAATCGCAATATTGCCAAAATCTCATTATAATCGCATTAAGAAGGTGCATGTAAACGCACTCATTGTAACCTTGCATGTGCATATTATTAGCAAATAATAACTTTAATTAGACCTTTCTGTGAGCCAAATATAAATTTATAAGTAATATAATTATAATTTTACAATATATAGTATGTGTGGTAAATATATAGCAGACATTTTATAAATAAAATATATACAGTATACAGTACTGTATACTGTTATTGTATAAATATTTATGAAGTCATATATATATAGTAATATATACATCCTTGCTGAATAAAAATAATAATTTATTCCATAAAAAATACCTTACTGAGCCCAAACTTTTTAATGGTATTTGCAACTAAGTATCTGTTAAGCATTATAGGCAGAAACTGAAATTTGATTTGCACTTGACCAACTTAAATCAGTGAACAGCACTCTTGAAACTTGATTTAGACTCGGCCCTGAAAGACCTGCGACTTGTGAACATGTCTGATTGTTGTGCAGTTGAAGATCCAAGCACTCACCATTGAAATTAACGTGCCGGACGTATCCCAGCAGCTCCTTTCCATTGATATTGCTCATGCGGGGGCAGAGGCCGGGGTATCCAAAGCAATAGTCCCTGTGCATGCGGTGAAGCGCGTGTGCCATGGCATAAACCGCATCCATCACAAACTGCACCTTGCCTTCCTGCTCGTAACTGGAGTCACGGCCCACCTTCTCCAGACCTGCACAAACACATACAAAACACACATCCTGAACAAACATGGTCTTTTGAGAGCTCAGCATATGATGTTTAATTTGGAGAATCCACTCTTGCAGATGCAGTCATTCTCTTCATAATAAATTGCTATTTAATGTTTCTCAAATGTATGCACTCATTAGAGTAATTAGCTAATCAAATCCTCGAGGAGGCACGTGCGCCGGCCATCTGATGCACATGTTTTGCCCGTTAAAGCAGCAAAAATGTGTTCTTTCCAAACAAATATTTTCTTCCATATCTCTCGAGACGGGAAAAGTAATATCACGGCTGCCATTCGGAACAAATATTCCAGCTGTTGTTGTGCAAAAATTGAATTTGGCTTGGGCATCTATGATTATTTCTCTCATAATCATCAGAGCGCTTTCCAACTTGGTGTATTTTAGCATCGGATGCCTCCGGGAAGATCTTTCTTCTCACGCCACGGTTTTCGACACAATGAAGGATAAATAAAACGTGGGCAAGGTGAATTAGCAAGACCTGGAGTCCTCCATCGTTTCTGCTGTCAGCGAGGAATTAATAGGCTCCTGTAAATGAAATCCAATCCACTTTTATAGCACATTCAGAGCAATGGGAAAATGATGCATTTGGTCTTCCAAAAACTAGATGGATTACTCGACCTGAACAGTGTGATTAATACGACACACAGAACAACAGGCCAGAGAAAACTGACTCCCAGTGTCAAAACAAGGTGAACATCAGGTTTATTTGTGGTCACACCTCCACAATGACAGAGCATTCACAATCAAAATCATGAACTATGTTCGGAAAGCAATACTAGCTGGAAGCCTACTGGTGAAACATATTGGTGAATATTTAAAACATATAATAAATTATAATATATAATAGTATAAATAATGTAATAAATATAGAAAATGAATATAATCCTGAATACATTATAAATATAAATAATAATGTAATAAAAAAACAAATATACATAAAATAATATAAACCTGAGCAAAATATAAATTAGGGCTGTCAATCGATTAACAATTTTTATCTGATTAATCACATCCTTTTTCTGTGATTAATCGCGATTAATCGCACACTTCATGAAATTAAGCATAGACCGTTTATCTTGTTTCAAATGTTTATTTTGTCATCAAAACTTTACTAGCGAGACTGGTTATCCAGTCGAGAAAACGTAGTTTGCATCTCATCTGGCCATACAGCGGTGGGATGGGTTGACAATCCGTTCAGTCTGTACTTCACACAGCGCAACGTGTTAGGGCTCGCTCGCGCTCTTCAGAGACAATCACAGAATATGACAGAGCTCGTGTTTAAAAGCGAAACACACTGGAATGAATAATTCACTTAAAACGCAACGCGAGTCTCTGTTCTCTCTGCAATTTCTGATGTAATCAGTCTGGTTTCCCTTATATTAGCGCTGTTTTGGACGGATTGTTTGAATGCATTCGCTTACTGAATTATTGGACTGAAAACTTTCCCGGAGTTTAGCGGCTTAAAATGATGTAATCGCAAGCAGAGTAGCAAAATTGGGTTAAAGGGTTAGAATAGAAATTGTGCTTTAGTAATATTGTGTTAATTGCGTTTGTGACGAGCGGGGGCGGGGCCGAGAACCGTGGGAATGGAGCGAGGCCGGTGGAGTAATTGAAGGCCTGGACTTCTTTCGTCTTTCTCTGTCGTCACTCCTCCTTTTATCCTTCCGGAGCTCCTCTGTGGGACTCGAGACCGGTGAGTGGTGCAGGTGTCGCTCATTATCAATTACTCCACCGGCCTCGCTCCGTTCCCACGGCTCTCGGCCCCGCCCCCACTCGTCACAGCGTTAAATAATTTTTACGCGTTAAGGATTGTAAAATCGCATGCGTTAACGATGACAGCCCTAATATAAATATATAATGAAGTCATTTAAAATAGTATAAAATATATAGTATATAATATAACATAACAATAAATATGTAAATTTCTATATATAATAAAAATAATAAATGTATAAAATAATACAAACCTAAATATATTATAAATACATATCTAATATAAATAAAATCTATATACCAGGTTAAGACACAAAACTAGACTAACAATTCAAATACTATATTTGAATATTTAAAATAAATAACATAATAAAGAATATAAACAATAAACTTTTTTAACATTTTACATTACAAAAGTTACACACACATATGTAAGTATACATAAAACATTAATATAATATAATATAATATAATATTGCAGTATTCAGTAAATAGAGAGCTAGTATTCTATCAACCATAAATACAACAGCATTTGGCTTTTATTTGTTGTAAATTTATTCATTCAGCAGATGCTTTCATCCAAAGCGACTTACAAATGAGGAAACATACAAACATGAGCGATTACTCACATGCAGCCAATACCAGCAGTGCCACAATACACAAGTTCACGCGCTCTGCTTCGATTCAGAGCTGGGGCTTTGATTGATAATACAATAATCATACAACAATGTCCTGTTTTATGCTTATTACGGTATGTGTGCAGGCTTTTCTGTGTCTCTGTTGAGCAGGAAAGGAAACAAACTGATGCTTATTGAGTGATTGATGGCAACACGGATGACGGACAGCTTAATGAGACCAACAATAGTTCAAATTAAATGTCAATTAGTGGCGCAAATTAAATTCCCTCCCTTTCATCGAAGACCTGCTCACATTTCCCTTCCATCTCTGGAGAACTACTGTTAAAAAGACTAAATAGTTTCCGCTCTCTAGTTTTGTAGCAGGCTGACAGTATCGTAGAAAAAGTACGATATCTGGCTTGAATTCAGAGCAGATCGTAATGACTGGCAGTGAAATGAATATGCTCAAATTGTCCGTTTTCCAAATTTTTCCTTCTCTCTCTCTCTCTGAGTTACATCTCTGTGTGCCAACATTGAGACAATAATCACCATTCTATATGCTATCTTATGCTAATGAGGACACTTCGGCTACATATTATATGCACATCTGACTGCTTTACTCAAGACAAGCTTGGAGAAACATCAGTACCTGTCTTTGTCAACATCAGCACTTGAACTGATGCATTTCAGGGCTGTTTTTAAAGCTAAAATAAGAAATAGATCATTGCATTTGCAAACAAATGACACCCGGTCAGTATTCTGTCATTCTGCAAAGCAGGCGTATCTCAGGTATATACATGTACTGTATCTGTAAAAATATATAAACACTTCAAAAATCCAAACACATTATTTCATTTGTGTGTGTGTGTTTGTTTTATATATTTAATATATAATTTATTATTATATATGAGAGTTTTTTGGCCTGTGCCCTTCTTATGCTCCTGGCTTCTACTTACTGTATAAACAAATATAGTCACTTAGATTAAATGTAAATATTTATGTATAAACAATGTTAATATTAATATGCATAAACAAACATATTAACATATCAATACATATGCATATTAATATTAATACAATATAAATCAAATATTGACAAATATTTTAGTATATATAAAATAAATAAACACATACATACATACATACATACATAAATACATAAAATAAATAAATAGAAATTACATATGAATATAACATTGGGCAAGGTGAATTAGCAAGATCTCTCTTCTTGAATTTCGAAATGAAATGAAATGAGTCAACCATGTAAAAACATAAATTCTATAAACACACACACACACACACATTAAGCATCGCTTAAAGCGTCCTCTTTTATTGCTTTAACATCTTTTTTTTTTGTAATCTTTTTTTGGTAATAATTTTTTTAATCCCCAACAGGGGACAACTAGATTTTAAATTAAAAATATGAATAAGTGAAGATTAAATGTGTAAATATGTAAGTACACACCAGCATTTCATTGTCTTTCTAATAGCTACAGTTTCACAACCTCACAAGCATTATCTTTCTCAATGCATAATAATAATCACTAAATATATTTAAATTTAGCTTGAAATAGCAAGACTGCAATTTTTATTAACACATTACATAGCTGATAAAGTAGTTAAAAATCAAACCGAAAAGACACTGTTTGACAGAATGACGCGTCTGCTTGTGGCCACTGCAAAACAGCCCAAAAATCCAATGCGTCTGACCGGCTTCCAGACAGCCGATCCTGTTTGCCATTGGACAGCACATTTCTGAACTTATTTAAATTTAGCTTGAAATAGCAAGACTGCAATTTTTATTAACACATTACATATCTGATAAAGTAGTTAAAAATCAAACCGAAAAGACACTGTTTGACAGAATGACGCGTCTGCTTGTGGCCACTGCAAAACAGCCCAAAAATCCAATGCGTCTGACCGGCTTCCAGACAGCCGATCCTGTTTGCCATTGGACAGCACATTTCTGAACCCATCACTGCAATTTCTCCAAGCTGATGGGATTCCTGAACTTCAAAATGAGACTGACACTCATGCTGTCCGAGACCTGATGCCCTCTTTCCCCGAGTCATTACGAATCACGCAGCAGCCCTGTTTGCTGTCAGAGCTCCAATACGTGTTTTTAAGCAGCTCTGATTTATTTGAGGAAAGGCTAAACACATCCTGACATCAGTTATTTTATTTGGAACCGTTCTCCCTTCTATAATTTTCAGCAGGTTAGTCTTTGTGTAAGCGCTCTGCTCGTGGAAGAAAGAGTCAAAGCACGCGTGGCACGTTATTGTTGGCAATAAGACGGAGCGTGAAATCGCATTAAGAGTTGCGGCTGAGGTTCTGCCACCTTGTGCTCTCCAGGGCTTGCTGGGATATGGTTTGCTGGGAAGGCGAGACCAGGTGAGCTCTTGACACCAATCTAACAACAGTCAGATTCGTCTCATCAGCCGGAGCAGCCAGGTGTGGCGTTTGCACAGGAAGTCATGCCTGTGCGTTTATTTGGACTTCCTGTTTCAGTAGAGCCACGGCAAGGTGCGAGTCCCAACTGAGGACGCTGGGTTTTAATTACGACTCAATCAGGGTAATAAATTACACAGCGCAGCAGAGGAGTCTCGCACATAGAGAGAGTGGATTCATTGCTTTCA